AGCTCTTAATTTCAAGTCCTCAGTTTGGTAAGTAAAGTTTAAATAATCTTTTTAACTTTTAAAATACTCTCCTACATTTGATTATTAAAGTGTACTGGTTCTTCATAAGTCTTTTTAAAAAGTAAAAGCACTTGTTCAGCCTTTATTGTTTTAAGTGTTTAATAGATATTATTTCATTGTGTGCAGTCTGTTTCATTCTTCAAAGTCAAAGAATTTAGATTTGTTCCATATTAAAATTTCTGTTGGAACCCCCTCGACGTGGATTCCTGTACGTGGTGAGGGAACCTCCCAGGGAAGGTTCTGTATTTTCAGTTACTTTCTCTGGGATCTAAACATCCACCCACGTGTTTGCCGTGTGTGGTGACCCGTGAACGGGAGGAGAGGATCATGGTGGTTGAGTGGTGTCTGGGGCACTGCAACACACCACTTTGGCCTTCAATTCCTGTAGACGGGTGACCCCTAGGGTCAATTGGCTGGTCCACTGGGGTTAGGGTCAACTGAGTACCAGTGTTGGGCATTCTCAATGGGTGTTGTGGACATCGTGTTTGATACTGGTGTTTGGGTATAGTGCTCACGAAACCCTGGCATTGCTGCAGTGTCTTTGTTTGACATTGTAGTGCATCCCCTCGTAGGACTCCATGGCAGGTGGGGTCAGTGGGCACTGAATATCTCTCCTTAATTATGGATCCCCCCATTCCAAATAAAAAAAAATTTTTAAATCTGCTAATTGGTAAAACCACACCTAAAAGATTCTGAACAGCAGTCTTCATCACAAAGTACACCTGTACCTCGCTTTCTGATCCTGCATTCACTGTCTGATAAATCTTTAGGGCATATGTATCCCTTTTTTATTCAGAAGGGCTTAGAGAGACTTGCTGGTTCTCCAAAGTCAGTTAAGAAGCTCCATTCTGGAGACATCTTAGTAGAAACTTCCACAGCTAAGCACAGTGAACTTCTCTTGAATTCAAAGGTCATTGGGGATATACCCATTGAGGTTACTCCCCATGCCTCCTTGAACTCCTCACGAGA